ATAATTCAACTTTATGAAGAGTAAGCCTGGAGAATTAGATGAGAGGCCCTCTCTGGACAATCTCTTCTAGAATGTTTTCTCCTTGCAGCTAGGCCAGCTATTCAGACAGCAAAGTTGGATTCCAAGGAAGTAACATTTCCCCAGCTGGGGAGATATGATGGTTAGGAGAGCTTTCAAATTTTTTGACAGTAAAGGAAGGATAATTTCCATGGAGGATGGAACCATATCCATTTTTGCTAACACCATGCTTGCCTAGGAAAACCACAGTCTGTAGAAGTTGTACCTAACTAAGAAAGAAAGAAAAAAAAGAAAGGAAGGAAGAAAAGAAGGAAGGAAGGAAAGAAAGAAAGAAAGAAAGAAAGAAAGAAAGAAAGAAAGAAAGAAAGAAAGAAAGAAAGAAAGAAAGAAAGAAAGTCGTTGTACCCTTTGTTTTCCAAAGATTGTCTCTCAAGTTCCTGTAGATTATAGTTCAAGCACAAGGAAATCAACTTTATTATAAGCATTCCTGAAATTAAAACTTAATTTCATGGACTACATAACACGGATTTTTTCCTTCACATTCTGTCAGTCTCTTGATTGATCTTTTCAGAATAGAAGGGGAAAAAAGCAAAGATAACATTTTGAGAAGACTAATATAAGCCATTCATCATGTATGTTGTTGACACGGAACAACAGATACATAATCCAACAGGACTATGCACTTGGCATTATGATGTACTGCTGTTCTTTTGCTTGAATGAAGGTTTGTCTAGTTCCAGTAACTGAACTAAAACAAAAGAACAAATTTATATTAACATTTTTTCACCCAGGATTTCCTCCTCTTGTTTCCCTGAGCCTTAATCTGTATAGATTGATATTGTTTTAGATCTTTTAGATCTCTTTCCTTCCTTGAATGAAGTAAACCACTTATTTCATGGAATTCAATATCTAGTAGGTAATTGATATGAGGAAAGAAATTTTTAGTATGTTCAATAGATTGAAAGAAAGAGATATTTATAAAATCTGCATTACAATGTGATTTAAAAAATAGAGACTCATGTTAACTTCTTTTCTAACCCAGATATAATTTTCCCCTAATAACATAACTATCACAGGTTAAAACATAAACTGTTCTTTCCTGCATTCACTATTGTATAAATGGAGTTTCAATTATTCTTCTTTTAAATATTCAAGTGTTGAAAAAATTTAATGACATAAATCACATAATTACCATCAGGTTTCATGAATCTATAGCTCGAGGAAATGGTTCATCAATATAATTTTTAAATTTCTGCATTCTGGCTCTGTGACACAGTTTCTGACCTGCTCAGATAACTCTGTGGCTCAGTGGTGGAATTAGCTGCTTGCACCATTGCTGAATGTAACAAAAATCTCAAGAGACTGAAAACATGAAACAATGTATTTAATTTGGCAATATTCAATATTCAAAGCTACTCTCTCCATATATATATATATATATATATATATATATATATACAAACATATCAGTAATTTAAAGCCATACATCTTTATAATAACAATAAAATAATTTAAAAACTTTTACCTAATTTATCTTTTTACCTAATTTGCTGTATTTTCCAGGTAACCATCAGTTAACCATCAAGGTTTAAAAGTAAAATGTGCCATTAATGCCTTTGATCATCTAACAAGCTAACCTAAAACAACAAATTTCATAAATCATTTTCTTTAGTAATAAAAAAGGTGTATTATTTAACTAATGTTTGAATCATTGTGGAGTTTTGCTGTTGTTTTTGTTTCTGTTTTCCTGGTATCAGGGTTGAACTCATCAGTTTGATTGTTCACCTGGTGGCCTACAACTTGAGCCATGCCTCCAGCCCAAATTTTTGTTAAAGTTAAAAGTCCCATGGATTTTTCTGCCCAGATTGGCTTCAGGTTCCAGATAACAGTCTCCTAAGTAGGTAGGATTACAGGTGTGATCCATAGCACCCAGCATCTTGTGATGGGTGAGTTTGTTTTTGTTTTTATTTTATTGTAAAGATGCTGTACAGAGGGGTTACAGTTACATGAATAAGGTATTCCCTCCTTTGTTTTTCTCCTCTTCTCCCTCCCTCCCCCTCCTCCTCACCCCCAAGTTGTAAAGTTCATTTCCAACATAGGATCTTGTCTCATTGTTGCAATGGGTCATCCTGTGAGTTCTTTGACTAAACAACTTTTAACTAAATAACCACTAACATAATCATTGATATTAATGAGTACTAAGAAGCATACAAATTGTGTGTTTCAACTTACTAACACAAACTAAGCAACAACTCTTCTACATAATAAGGTTATCAGTAACTGTTCAAGATATGTAGCTAAATAACTCCTCCACAATAGAAACCAGTTGGTAATATATTGCCACACTTGTGATCCTTGATTGTCTGCTACAGTCAAGTAAATATTAACAACAACAACAACAAATCAGGAATTAGATTCCTTTCAATAAAATCTTAGTAGTAACGATAAACAGTTGAATGTTAAAGTTATATTTATCAAAAGACAATTCGAAACACAAAACATTAATTCACTAATTTTTTAAATGTAGGACGTTATTGTTATGTCTGCAATGTTAAATTTCCCCTCTCCCCCCCCCCGGAGAAAATACCCCCTTTGCCATTAGTTCTTCCTGGGTTCACACGTGGTCCCTTCCCTATAGCCCCAGCCCAGCTTTCCTAACCCAGGTAACTGATACACCTGGGGACTGCCGGAGACTCTAAGGTCTTCCTTGTGGTCAAACTCCTCCCTGCCCTCTCCCAGTACATCAGTCACCATCACTACTTCAGCCCCTTTTGTTTTGCCCTGGAACCTTTGCAGCTTTTCCCTTGCTTCTTGCCCTTTTCCCCGCCTTCCCTTCCCTCTCCCTTGCCCTGCATCCTTTGCACAGCCTGCTCCATCTTTTTCAGGGCAGCAGCATGCTCTCCCTTCAATAAACTTTTTCAGTCTGAACTATGTGGTGGTCTCCTTCCAGCTGAACCTTACAACCAGGCTTCTCATTTATTAATTTATTACAAGCAACACGACCACATGGGAGCATTTATTTTATAGATCTAGAGAAAGTTAGTGATTTTTATCTTGTTAGCCATAGCCACGATGCCCCTCCGTGAAAGGGTGATATGTATACACAGTGGAATTCTACTCATCCATCAGAAAGACATTGTACCATTCATAAGGAAATGGAAAGACTTGGAAAAAAATATACTAAGTAAAGTAAACCAGACTCAAACAAACATAGGTTGCATGGTTTCCCTCATTTGTAGTTACTAAAATGTGCCTCTAATTCTACAAACAAATACAGTGGATGGTAATAAACAACTAAATAATTAAGTAACTTGAGTGATCAATTATACAGGTCTCTAAGCATCCACACAGAAAGAGACCAAAGGAGGATATTCTTAGTAGAGGAACACAAAAGCACAATAGCTATGTACATCTGATCATATAAAATAAATTTTTGAGGTGAATTCCAGGAAATTGAAATAAGAAGTTCTTTTTCTTCTTTGTTGCTGTTTTTGTTTTCTTTTCCTTTTGTCTTGTTTGTTCTTTTATCTAGACACTCTGTTGAAAATGATCTACATAACTTGTGGGTTGGGACAGGAGAGAAAGCCTGGAGGAGAGAGGGAAGGGGTAACATTGTTCAAAAAGAAATATACTCATTACTTAAGTAACTGAAATCCGGCTGCACATCACCTTTATAATAACAATATTTTCAAAAAACATGAATAGTGAAATAGTTCTTAAAAAGGAAGTTGGTGATTTTTTAAAGGACTGTATTCCATAGAAAATGAGAGATCTTGTTTTCATATTTCCTCAGTGTTGGAACACTGAAGAATCTTTATTCTTACTAGGTTTGAAGTTATTTTTAATACCTATCTATGCCTCTGTCTCATAAATCTGTATTTTACTCACAAAATAAAATAATGGCTTATTTGCTGTTGAATTTAAGAAAGGCCTCCATAATTCAAGTGTCGTCTTTAAAGAAGATCAAAGGAGCAGAATAAAATATATCAGAAGAGTTAGTCATAACCAAGGAAAAGCCAGAAGTGGTTACAAGAAAACATTCCTCAGGGGGTAATTTAACAACATTACTAAAAGTGTGGAAACCCTAATCATCCAGATGATGAGGAGAGGGGTGATTAGCTAAGTCATTGTCTGAAACCCACTGAATCACTGGCCCTTTTGAAAAATGATTGGTCCTTTTTTTCTAAAGATGGGTTTTAAATTTTAAGAGAAGTTCTGAGTAGCATCTGAGAGAGAAAGAACACAGAGCTTTCATGATCCTAGATTTCTTAAGCCTGAGAATAAGGTAAGATATCAAACACTTGCTTTCATAATGTTAAGAAATAACTGGGTAAACTGCAAGATAGACTATCAAGGCCACCTGAAATGTTTGTGGAAGGCCTATGAATTGATTGGAAATACAGGAAAAACTTACATATTGAGGGCAAATGACAATATATGTCTATGAGATATGTTATATTAATTTTATAATCCATGTCCCTAAATTAGAAAAATATTGTCTGTTGATGCATATAACATTTATTAATATCATCAGGCTTTACATCGAAATTACCTATTTTAGATCTTTATAACAGTACTTTTTCAATGCAGATTCTAAAATCATGTACATAATAAGAACCCAACCCAGTTAGCTGGCCCCAATCATGGACTTCCTGTGACCTGCGGGGTACAAGGGTGAGCGGTCTTATTCTCTACCCCTTTCAATGATACTGGATTCCACTCGATGAGGCTATTGGTCAAGCAAACAGTTTTGGATTCAATAAACAGCTTCTCTGAGAGAAAATAGAGTTACAAATATTCATATGTATACATTTATTTAAATCTTAGGATGTGAATAAATACTGATTTTTTTCCTCAATGGCTCCGATTGACAATACTTCCTAAATATTTTTGACCATGTCTTTGGTTATGATTTTTTTAAAGCTAAGTATCTTTTTTAAAACTAAGTATCACATCTTATTTTCTAGGTTTATTATCTGAAAATGAAAGCCCTAATTCTTCTTGGACTCCTGGGAGCCACACTGTCAGCTCCAGTATGTGATTTCTCGATACTCTTCATTTCATCATGAAAACCTGTAATAATCCATTCTTTGATCATTTTCTTTCTTTATTCCTTCTAGCTTATTCCACAGCGTCTTATGTCTGCCAGCAACAGCCATGAGGTTAGTTTAAATAATTAAACCAATCCAATCTACTTTTAAATGAAAAATACAGTGGGAAGAGCGAAAGAGCCTTCACCTCGTGTAGCTTGAACCTTAGCCACTAGCTCTTACACAAGTCCAAACCATCTCTAAGCTTCAGATGTTTGCTCTGTACAACTTCTAAAATATCATTTCCACCATCTGCTTGTTTAATTGTAAGTTCTATAAAGCCAGAGACAACATCTATATTTTTGTTCTAGTCAACAGAGATGTACATCAGTATATAGAATATAAAATATCTGTACTGTCAGAGTAAAATTGTGCAATCACATACACAGCAAGGATGATACTGATAAATCCTAACCTGCTTTCATAACTTCTAATCATTGGGATTTAATAAGCATTATGGGAAAGGATTATACAAAGTGGATCAGCCACCTCTGACGTATGCTGCATTAATTGTACACTATGTTCTTCATCACTTTAGCCTGTGTAACTAATCCAATTTTCATATTATATTTCCTCTTCCAGTTACTTCTGAACCTCAATAATGGTCAACTTCTGCCACTACAGCTGCAGGTATCTCTGCCATCATGATCAGTTCAAGAGGATATTCTTAACTGCTCCATTCTTACAGCATTTTGTATAAGAACAAGATATAGCCTGACACTATTTCTGAAATCTTAAGTTTCAATGTGATAAATTCGTCCTACATACACTGATGATTTATTTGAAGACTGAGTAAAAAACTATAATCAAAACTTTTTCTTGTTAAGTAGTAGGCTTCCCACAACAATGAGATAGTTAAATTAACTATTTCACACAAAATCATATTCAGTAAACTGGTGAGGTGTGGGAAGAGACAAAAACAAAATTTAAAAGCAGGGTTAGGGTGAGTGTTAGGGTTAGGGTTAGGGTTAGGCTTAGGGTTTCGCTGAGGGTGAGGGTGAAGGTGAGGGTTAGGGTTAGGGTCAGGGTGAGGGTGAGAGTTAGGGTTCAGGTTAAGTTTAGGGTTATGTTGAGGGTTAGGGTTAGGATTAGGGTTAGGGTGAGGGTTAATGGCAGAAATTATGTTCTTTTATCACTCTTATTCTGCCTGTTAAGAATTTAACACTGTGTATGGCTCATGATGAATTAGGATACTGTCCTTTTTTATTAAGGAGCACTAAAAAAAATGTTGGTTTGAGTTTTTTTCTGTTGGGAATGATTTAAATTATGATTAGCACGAAAAGAAAATTCTTTCTTTTGTTTCCTACTAGGGTCCATTTAATTCTTGGATTCCTCCCTTCTCTGGTATTCTACCACAGCAACAACAGGCTCCAATTGCAGGACGCCCCCAATTCCCATTGTCAATTCTAGATGGATTTGCAGGACTGTTTCCAAATCAAATACCTTTCCCAAGACAAGTGAATTTTGCCCAAGGAGCCCAGGCAGGCCAGCTGGATCCCTCACAGCCTCAAACACCATCGCAGACCCAACAGGGTCCCAATCATGTAAGTCTCTTCCATCTTGTGGTCTTGGGGAGAGGAAACTGTACGTTGAATGCAAAAATGGATATGGGTCAGCTTCGATCCAGGACAAAAGTATTCTCTAATATGTAACTACAGTCATTGAAAATACTTTCACCTATTGTCTGATTTTTTTACATGAAAAATGCTATTCAAATTAGCTATTCTAGAATCCAAAGGGTTAATATTCCTTTGGGACAAGTTATTTAGGATAACTTTGTCTAATGAGTTACATTCATGATACTTTATATAATAGCTGACCTTTTATGGAAGTTTATTAGTGCAAATAATAAAGTTATATGTCTTACCTTTTTGAAAAGCAGCTTGGAAATTTAGATAACAAATTTAGGTATAAAATTCTTGTATGATTTTTTGGCAGATGATTCCCTATATAGTTTCCTTTAAATTGCCTCAAGAACAAACACAGGTAAATGAAAATAATTTGTGTGACTACTTACACTTTCTTTGCTTCTTTTAACTCTACCACTGTAGAGCTCTCAATAGCCATATAGCACTCATTACGCTCTAGATACTACCATTGCTGGGTTGGCATCAGTTTGTTGATATGAAGCCCACTTAAGTCCTTAAGAAAAGGTAAATGACTAGAGTCTCAAGGACTTTTGGGTCTCCAGGCATTGCCATGCTGAGAATGAAGTGCTTGCTGATACTCAGCATGTCACCTATGCATCTAAGGGCTGTCAATGGGGAACAACTCAACAGAAATATCATGGGCTGACTTTGGACAATCTTAAATTTTGTCAGCAGGTGACAGATTGCTAGCTCTCATATAGTGGGACTATAAAAACTCATAGCCATTAAATTAATAATATATGAATACTAATAATATATGAGTAGATATAGAAATAAGACACACTTGCCTACATTATTTGGCAGTTATAAAACATTCCTAACTTCTTGTATATGGTATTTTCTATTTGAGTCCATATTATAATTGAATAGTGATTATTTCCATTACAAAGGAGAGTTACTTTGAAAGTAGATGTAAACTAGTAAGATTATTATATAAACAGGAAAATCTTTGTCAGTTTCAGTATAATCAGTTTTATAATATCCCAAATTCACACAAAGAAGGCTATAGACAGATTGTATTATTCACTAGCTTAGTATTAATCTTCTCATAAGAAGTTATACCACTTAGTTCTTCTATAATTATGCAATTTTGTTTCAACCACACCGTCCTTACAAAACAAAACTTGTTTCTAGACATTATCTCATTGTATACCCTTAAGTATTTAAAGCATTACGTGTCAGGTAGAATTGCTTCATTTTAGGAATCAGGAAACGTTCTTAATTAAGATTAAATTCCTAATCCTAATGAAGTAGTTGGGTGAGACAATATAAGTCTCCACCCTTTTTCTAATCACTAAACCATTGGCTCTCCACCTAGGATTTACATCAAATCCTCTGATGGTGATTTTCAAATTACAAATGTCTGAACCCTATACACAGCCTAGTAAATCAAAACCTTACAATTAGATGACAAATGTGACTATCTTCCAAAATGCTCAATAGGTACTTTTGATTACTAAGGTGGATTAAGAATCATTGTAGGAAATATATTCCTTCTGGAAATAGGGTTGCTTTTGATGTTTTTTAATTCTCAAGGCTAATATAGTCACTTAATGATACAAAGAAATAAAACACCATTCAAATGTGTGTGTGTGTGTGTGTGTGTGTACCATGATCCTCATTTTCTACAACACATATGTACTATGATCCTCATTTTCTATAAACACACCAGATACATAACAATGCCAACCCATAATAAACTGGGTGATGGCAATTATGTTATTTGGTTATTTATGGGTATTTCCCAGTATTCTAAAGTGCTTATGAGACAGGCACCTGTGGCTCATGTCTATAATCCTATCTACTCAGGAGGCTGAGATCTGGTGATTGCGGTTGAAAGTCAGCCTGAGCAGAAAAGTCCATGAGACTCTTATTTTGAATAAACTACTCAGAAAAAGCCAGAAATGGTGCTGTGTCCCAAGTGTTAGAGCACTATCTTTGAGCAAAAAGAAGCTCAGCGACAGCAACCAGGCCCAGAATTCAAGCTCCAGAACTGGCACACACACAAAAAAACATATAGTCTCCATTAATAAAGTAGAAGTTATTATTCTTTTTTTTTTTTTTTGGTCAGTCATGGGACTTGACTCTGGGCTTGGGCACTGTCCCTGAACTCTTCAGCTCAAGGCGAGCGCTCTACCGCTTGAGCCACAGCACCACTTTTTGTTTTCTAGTGGTTTATTGGAGATAAGAGTCTCACGGACTTTCCTGCCCGGGCTGGCTTTGAACCACAATCCTCAGATCTCAGCCTTCTGAGTAGCTGGGATTACAGGAGTGAGCCACTGGCACCCGGCTTGGAAGTTATTATTCTTAAGAATTTAAAAAATAACTTTCACATTCAATATACCGATCCTGCTTAAAATACTTGTATATGTATATATATGTACATATACATATTTATATGGAGAATGCTAAGCATACTATCCTCCATTTTGGTACTTGCAAATTAATTTATTTATAAAGTCTCCAAAATATTTTAAATGCTTCTTTTACTTATTTGCACCCTACGTTTCCTAACTTGTTTGACAAAATAATGTCCACTATCATGCAGAATACAGGTTGCTTGTAAAGTTTGAGAAGGGTTGTTTATCCACTCTTCTATGCGTATTTCATAATATTAACCTACTATACAGAAAACATTTTTAAGATAATATTGACATTAGAAAAAAGCATGGCTAGTACTTCTCTAATGGAATAACATATGTTTCTCTATTAACAAATAGATGTTTCAGTACTACCCAGCTTACATGATCCTGCCTTGGGACCAGGCTCAACAAGCAGTCACTCAATCACCCCAACAAACAGGGCAGCAGCAATTTGAGGAGCAGGTACTACAAGAGCTTAATTTTCATCTAACTACTTCCATCTGAAAGTAGAGAAAATAGTGTAATTTACAAGATAAAATGGTAACTGAGTATGTTTAGTGCTAATACTTAATAATTTGACCTGGCAGATATATGAGAATGTAATGCTTTCTCCTAAAAATCATTTGCATAGACTTCTCATACTCCAAGTCTAGATTTTAAGTGATAAGCTTATTGAATGGACACTAATAGAATCAGAGCCAAAGCTAAATCACTTCTGAATATTAATCCTCAGGATTTATCCTTGTATGTATTTGTGTGTGTGTGTGTACTTATTACTAAAAGTTAAAAAAGCAAAATGTAATAGCTATCCATCTTCATAAAAGATAGCTTTGATCACTAGACCTTAGATACAATTAGATTTTGATACATTGAACTTTATAAATCTACAGTGGATTTTTAGAACCATAATATAAATTCGAGAGTCGCAGAAATGGTTCTAGAAGGAATCTTGATAATTTAATGAAAAATTTTTACCAACTAAAATGTGTGAACTTTTTTTAAAAAAGCACTTAACTAATGTGAGAGATATGTAAACTTAAGAAATCTTTTTTCACAAATATATGACAAAATGGGGTAAACATAACATGTTTCTTCAAAATATCTGACAGATACCATTCTATACCCCATTTGGATATGTTCCTCAGCAAGTTGAACCCGTGAGTAAATGCCTAGTTTCTATTTTTTTTAAAATCTTTTGAAATTACCTACATAATTGTATATTCAGTCCATGAGTAGCTTTCAAAGACCACCAAGACAGCAATATTAGTTGAACAAAGTTTTGATATCGCTACATAACTTAAAAAAACACAAAGGGACTCTGCAGAAATCTTAATAGGAAGATATTAGAGTGGTTTTTCACAGGATTTGTGCTTGTATTAGCATAATGGGAAAGGAGTACAAAGACATGGTGGATATATAGTAGATATTATCAAGTATGTAAATATCATAGGAACTCTTACCATGAAGGAAAGAGAATGAGTTAGGTCAAAGGCTCTAATTAGTGAAGCATCCACAACCACCAATATTAGCCAGGGTGTCAGGGTATTTGTCTAACTTTTTCAGGTGTAATGACAATTTTCCCTTAGGTCAGAGTTGAGTAGGGTTATTTATGCTAAATCAGGAAACATGAACGACTAGCAACAAATGTTAGGAAGCAGAGCTTACAGAACTGAAGCACAGCCGCATAGGTAGCCAGATCCCTCCTACTAGGATTTGTTTTTCTCTTGTCAAATCTAAACTCTTGTTTTTGCTTATAAGAAAATAATTTAAGAAGTTGATGAGTGTTTGACATTTGGAGGAGCAAAGGACAATAGGTTTATCTAACACGAATTTAGATGCCTTTAAATTTCCTATTCTTTCAGGGTGTACAAGGAGGACAGCAGCAATTATCTTTTGACACATTCTTGGGTACAGCTCCTGAAACTGTGGGGATGGTAAGATTCCTCACAACACTTTGCTAGCAGCTAGAAATCAACATCTTTATGCTCCTTCCCTGGTGCTCATTTAAATGTAACCTTCCTTATTCTTCCATCAATAATTCCTGCTTCTTTCTCCTTAGTTTTTTGCTAGTCAAGATTCATGACACTCAGTTCCTCTGATTTTTATTGAGGAATCTCTACTAAGAATTTTAAACATCTTTGTTGAAAAGCAGGTATGAAGCTGGGTGTTAGTAGCTTACACCTATAATCAAGAGACTGATATCTGAGGATTTATAGTTTAAAGCCAGTCCTGGCAACAAAGATGATGACAGTCTTATCTCCTACTAACCTCCAAAAATCTAGAAATGGGGCTAGGGCTCAAATGGTAAAGTAGTATCCTTGAGCAATAAAGTTAAGACAATGCCCAGGTCCTGAGTTCAAGCCCCATATTGGTAAAAAACATAATTGCTTCTTTTCTAAAATTAGCTTTAAATCTAAAAAAATAAAGCCACTAGTTTCTTAAATACATACTTGTTTTGCATGTCAGTCCTGTCACTTTATATTCTCCCCGGTTTTGACCTTGGACTTAAACCTGTTTTCATTCTCATTCTCTATAGCCAGCTGAAGGAGGAGTACCATATTTACAAAACGAAGTAATAAGCTTTAGGCATGAGAGTGCAGGAGTTCTCATACCGTCAACTACACAAAAACCCAGCACCACCGATTCTTTTACTGCCACTAAAGACCCAACTCTTGCCCGGCTGCTTCCAGAAGAGAAGGTAGAATAAGTCAAAGAGTCATTTTATGCAAAGAACTGTTGTCTAATGAAAATTATAAATTTAGAACTTAATTCAAAAGATTCTGTTATTGTAAACATAATAATGCACCTAATGAAATAATGCAATATATGTGTGTGTATATATATATATATATATATATATATATATATATATATATATATATATATATATATAGTGTTAACCCTGGGGAAAGGAGTCAATAATTATTTTTGATAGAAAAATATTCATCACAGTAAAATTTAACTTTAATACAAGCTTCTCATGACTGATCTTTTCTAACTAGGCCAAGACTGACAGCCATAGAGAACCATAAGCTTCTGTCTTAGCCATTAGGAGGGTTTGGTAAGTATTTGTCAAAGTCAAAGCTTAAGTAAGTGCTATTCATACAAGCTGGCAGAACTAATAAATTGTTATAAAAATGATTACAAATAAAGAAACTACTGTTTCTATCTACCTACAAAGGATAATAACTCTGAGACACCAAAAATATTTTTAAATGAAATTAACTTTTCAGAGTCATATGTGCCATTCTGTGCAGCATCAGCTGTGACAAAAGCTGAATGTCTTATGTTCCTATGGAATACATTCTACATCATTTCCCTTTGCAAACCAAACATTGTAATAACATCAACATCTCCATAAGCTTGAAATAAAATAAACTCTCAGAATAATATATAAATTGCCCAATGACAAAGGAATGTCATATGTAATGACCTGATTGTTTTCTGTCTAAATGAGCCTTGTTGGCTGTTGAAGCAACAGTAGGCAGGCTCAGGGATATTAAACAAAAGGGAACAGAAGGGAACAATTTGACCTGAAGGTTAAACGAAACAATAAAAGCTTTATATTTTTTCTCGGCTGTATGTTAGCCTCTTCTGAATTTTAAGTTTATGAAAGAGATTATTCAACATTTTTTATGAAGATAGTATATTTTCAGTCTAACAAAGAGACAGAGATTGCAGAGACATATAGTAAGCTATAAAGTGAGATAAACAACTGCAACCAGGAGTAAACAGTATCAAAGCTTCTTGAGAGAAGTCATCTCCCTAATGTCTACTTTGTACAAAAAAAGTCAATTCAAGCTATATAAATCAGAAATACTGGTTCCAATACAGTGTGACCTTTGCTCAAAGAGAAATCTGTGCCAGTGTTTTTCATTATAACCTTATTGGAGCTATTAGGGTGACTATACCTGTTGAGGAAACAGAAAGAAAGATTTTCTATTTTATAGTAAGAAATTATAGAATTCTCAGAAAATTATAGAATTATATAGAAAATTATAAACTAGAAAATATTACACAAAATAGTCTAATGGTACTAAAATGCTCTTCCTCTTTAATTTTCAGAGAAAAGAATGTGATGGTGCCTTGGATATCTTTTACGTTGTTGCTTCTTCAAAGCTAATAGCAGCCTTCGCTCTTCTCTGAGTTTGTCTTCACTTAAAAGTAATAGCATACTCTTCAAATTGTAATAGAAAAATGATGCAATCATGTTGTAAGTTCTTTTTCACCAACTTAAATTTCTTTAAAAAGAATTTATCATGGTATAATCTAAAACAGAACAACACTAAAAAAGGCTACTATCATTATGCTGTTGGATATTTGTATTAATAAAGGATTCCTCTACAAAATTGTCTCATCTCTGAGAGGAAGATGTATTGTCAATGGATTGTGGATGAGTGTGATGTTGGGGACTGATGAACTAGAATATGTACCTATTTTCATATATCATCAGCTCATTTTTCATTCAATTTGAAGGCAGGGAAGGTGGCTCAGTGGTAGAGCACTTGTCTTGCATGCATGAGGCCCTGGGTTTGATTCCTCAACACCACATAAGCAGAAAAAGCCGGAAGTGGCGCTGTGGCTCAAGTGGTAGAGTGGGAACCTTGAGCTGAAGAGCTGAGGGACAGCGCCAAGGTCCCACAACCAACAAAAAGAAAGAGAGGGGGAGAGGGGGGGTGGGGAAAGGAAGGAAGGAAAGAAGAAAAGAAAGAAAGAAAGAAAGAAAGAAAGAAAGAAAGAAAGAAAGAAAGAAAGAAAGAAAGAAAGAAAGAAAGAAAGAAAGAAAGAAAGAAAGAAAAGAAAAGATCAATTTGACTGATTTTATAATGGAGATTCTCAATGCAACACAGCTACAAAAATGACTACCTTCACCCAAAAGAATGAACCCCAGGAAGATACATGTTTGTTTTGAGAGGTAGCATTCTATAGAGAATAGACTACAAATGTTGCAATTCATCAGATTTAGCCTTGATGAACTTTTTAGACTGAAAAAAGGCCTAGAGAAGTAGACAGAGATGGCTCAACATTAGCACAGGTGTTATTCAGGGTAAGAAAACCTGGAGAAGAGGGTCTCCAACCCACCACTACTTACAGACTGGCTTTAATGGTTGATCAGTGGAAAAGTATTAAAAGCACTCTTTAGATGCGGATTTTTTTGTCATTTTTCTATGTGATAGATTGCTCATGGAAAATAAGGATGTATTTCTGTGCCAGGCCAGAGGGCATGAGCAGATGAGGATTGTGTACCCTAAAGAAGAAAGAGTGAGGATGGTAGAATTTTCTATATAGCCAGCTACAATTGGTGTCAAGCAACTCTAAAACTGAACACTCAAAACTGAATCTCCATTCTCTCAGGCAAAAAAACTTAAGGAATCCTTACTCAGCTCTCAAATATTACCTCATGAATTTCTGAATTTACAGTGGTGTTTCTTATCATTGACATGGCGCTTTAGCTCAGTAGCCAAACACCCATACAACATGCTTAAGTCTACAGTGCCACTCATGAAAACAAAACTAATGCTTAAGTCTCACCATTCATGAGAGGAAAACTAGTTGCAAAAGGCAACCCACTAACAGACCAACCACTAGGAAAAAAAATAGCAGTAACCAATTGAAAACAATCACTCCAATAAGTTTGGAGAAATAAAAAAGGACCAAAGATAATGCTGTTTGTAATACAAAAACAGTAGCAAGAAAATGAGAATACTCATATGTAGCTTTAGCGAAACAGAAATAAAAAGAAAAGAAATAGAAGGGAATTAAGAGAAAAGAATGGAATGGAATTAAAGGATAGAGTTCCAAGCTAAAGCTAAAAGCGGAGTGAGAAAAAAAGAAAAGTGGCAACCAACTAACTAAAAGCAATAAATATCAAGAAGTGCAGAGGAAAAGATTAGAAAGAAGAGCTGATCTAATTGAAGGCAAAATGAATAAAAATTATGGAGGATGAGATAAAGAAGTTGGAGGAATCAAAATCAATATTGAATGTGTGTCTACAATTCCAGTAACTAGAGAAATTAGGGCAGGGAGTCTGCATTCCATAAGTCAGCAGATCATAAGCTCTCTGTTGTCAGGTCACAGTTGCTGGTGCCTTCAAATGTCTGCTCCTTTTATAGGGAAGCCTACACAGAAGAACTCTAACAACATACTCTTCCTTCCAGGTCTCTGACTTTCTGAAACTCAACTCCTATTTCTCCTGTTAATGAATAGTCACCCCTTCCTGTTGCTTTATGTAGATTCCCTGCTTGACTAGATAGAAAGATTCTTCAAAAGATCCACATAGAGCTCCCCTATGACTCAGCAATCCCACTTTTGGGCATTTACCCAAATGATCACAAACAAGGCCACACTAAAGCTACCAGCACGACTATGTTTATTGCAGCATTATTTACCATAGCTAAGATATGGAAC